CACCCACCTCCATCTCCTCCATCCACCCGGCCAGATGCTGCAGATCCCCCAGCACTGCCTGCAGCTCCACGTGCAGCAGCAGCCTCTCCCTCCTCTCCTCCACCGACTTCCTCAGGACGTCCCACAGCCTCCCCACGTTCTTCCTCCTCTCCATCACCTTCCTCACGTCGTGATACCGCTCGGCTTCCAGCTCCGCCGCCACAGCGCCCAGCGCCTCCACGCGCCCTCCGTAGGCCGCCACGTCCGTCTCCATGGCCTCGTGCTTCCGGACCGCCGCCTCCACCGCCGCCACGTCCGACCCAAAGTGGTCCTGGGGGGCGGGGGGGAGTGGGGTGGCACTGGGGGGGAGTCTGGGGGTCCTGTGTCCCCATAGCAGGGACAGAGACGGCAGCGGGATGGGGTCTGGGGGCACCAGGATGGGGTTGGGGGTCCTGTGTCCCCACAGCACAGCCAGCAATGGCACTGGGATTATGGGGACACTGGGGTGGGTTCTGAGGGTCCCACATCCCTGTGGAGGTGACACTGCTGTCCCCATAACGAGTTCAGGTGGTTCCACACTCCACAGCCCTGCCCCACAGCTCTGCCCCACAACCCTGCCTCATAACCCTGCCCCCCAGCCCTGCCCCACACCCCGTGCCCCACCTGCCCCACGAGGCGCTGGTTGTCCCTCAGCCAGCTCTCCCTCATGGCCGCCTTCCTCTCGAATCTCGCCGCCAGCCTCTCCAGCTTCTCCTGCCGGATCAGCTCCGCTCTCAGCGCCACCTCGCGGCCGTGCTCAGCTTTCTCCAGGCGCTCCCAGGCCTGGGGGGGGGACACAGATAGGGGGGTGTGGGGTGGTTATGGGATAAAGAGGATGGTTATGGGGGGACGCACCGAGATACGGGGTTGTGGGATGGTTTGGGGTTATGGGGACACAGATATGGGTTGTGGGGTGCTTAGGGGTTATGGGGACACAGATATGGGGTTGGGTGGTTATGGGCTGACACGGATGCGGTGTTGTGGGCTGATAGGGTTATGGGCGTATAGGAATGTAGCAATATGGGGAGTTATGGGGACATTGAGCCTCTACGTGGTCACTGCGAGGATGCTGTGGGCCCTCTGTAGGTCTCAGCAGGTCTCTATGAGGAATCTGTAGGATTTCTATGGGGTCCCTGTGGGCCCCTATGGGTGTCTGGGGGGTCTCTGAAAGATCTCTATAGGTCTCCAAGTGTCCCTGTGGGTAGCTATGGGTTCCTGTGGGGCAGACGCACCCGGTTGATGTCAGCCAGCAGCGTTCCGTCGCGCGGCACAAAAACCTTCTGGTTGTTGGAGCGCATCCGGCTCTGAATGGTGAACAGCAGCACCTCCAGGTGACCCTTCTCGGTGAACCTGGGGGACAGGTGGCACTGGATGGCATCGAATGGCACCGGATTGCACCAACGTGGCATCATATGGCAGCAGGGCAGCACTGCGACGGCCCCAGTATGGCCACGCACCCCATACAACCCCACAGCACTCCACAGCGCCCCACATCTCCCCATAGCGCTCACTTGGGGGGTTTCTCCACGGTGCGGTAGGTGTTGAAGGCCTGCAGCTGGTTCTGCACGCCGCTCAGCCCCATAGATCCCCACTGGCGCTCGTTGAGGGCCATGATGGTGCGGTCAATCCAGCCCAGCAGCTCCGCCGCCATCGCCTCGTAGCGCTGCACCAAACGCTCCGCCAGCAGCGCAGCCTCCAGCACCTGCAATGCACCGCGGGGGCACCGCATCAGCACCACGGACAGCACCAGGTCAGCACTACAGTAACATGGACAGCGCTAGGCCAGCACCGAGGATAGCACCGAGTCAGCACCACGGACAGCGCCGGACCGGCACCACAGAGAGGTCCGCATCAGCACCACGGACAGCGCCCCAATCAGCACCACGGACAGCAACGCATTAGTGCAAACGACCGGCTCCATGTCAGCACCACGGACAGCGCCCCGATGTTGCCTTCCGTCCATCTTTCCATCCATCTGTCTGTCCTTCCATTCTTCCACCCACCCACCCACCCACCTTTCTGTCCTTCCATTCATCCTTCTGTCCATCCATCCTCCCATTTGTCCATCTGTCCATCTTCCTGCCTTTCTATCCATCCATCCGTTCATTCATTCATGCTTTCATCCATCCGTCTGTCCATCCATTCACTCATTCATCTGTCTGTCCGGCCATCCATTTGTTATTCCTTCCATCCATCCATCCATCCATCCATCCATCCATCCATCCATCCATCCATCCATCCTTCTGTCTTTCCATCCATCCATCCTTCTGTCTTTCCATCCATCCATCCTTCTGTCTTTCCATCCATCCATCCTTCTGTCTGTCCATCCATCCATTCACCCCTTCATCCATCTGTCTGTCCATCCATTCTTCCACCCACCCACCCACCCATCCTTCTGTCCATCCATCCATCCATCCCTCCATTCACCCATCCGTCCACTTCCCCGCCCATCCGTCCGTCCCTCCATCCTTCCCCGCCCCCGGGGCCCCCCCCCCCCCGGGGGGGGCGGGGGGGGTCGGTCGGTCCGTCCGTCCGTCCGTCCCACCTTCCCGATGCGTTTCCCCTCCACGGCCAGCGCTTTCATTTTGGAGAAGTAGTGATACAGCGTGGCCACGTACGTCATCACGGAGCGTTCGTCGGGCTGCTCCACGTTCACGTCTGCGCCGCCGCGTCACTGGGTGCAGCCACCCCAAAACCCCCCCCGGGACCCCCAAAATCCCCCCCAGGACCCCCCCTGGACCCTCCAAGAC